CCCCATCTCATCCCCCTCCTCTTCCCTCTCCCCTACCCTGCCCTACTGCTCCCTCTGTTTTTCAGGCAGCAAAGAAGTTTAATCAAGACTGTTTATAATGAATCTCCCTCAGCTATTTCTCCATCTTATTTCAGGTGTCCATCCACCTGGACCAGCCTGTGGTATGTCTGGTAAGTCCAGTCCCCCTTCTTTCATTGCTGTATTTATCATTAATCACCACATTGATTTCTGCAGTACTGCCCCATCAGAAGCTCCTGCCAAAAGATTAGCAATGCTTACATAAACTAGCCTCTAAACTGTAGCGGCAACATTTTAAAGGATTGGGTTGTCTCTGCTGTCGCTCTTGAACGAGAGACTTTCACCCATACTTTGCTAGCTTTAGACTTGACTATTCCAACATTCTCATTCCCGATCTTAAACATCCTATCTTGCAAAACCTCAAAGTAATCTAAAGCAGTGTTCCTAACACACACCAAGTCCTGTTGATCGGTGCTCAATGACCTACGTTTTCTCCTAATTAAATGACACCTCAATTTTAAAATGCTCATTCTTGTTTTTGAATCCATACCTAGCCTTACCATTCTCTATCTCTGTAATCTCCTCCAGCTCCACAGCCCTTTGAGATATGTTTCTCTAACTCGACTAACTCCCTATTTTAATTGCTCCATTATCTGTATCTTTAGCTATCAAGGCGCTAAACTCTGAAATTCCCTCCCTAAATCCCTCCATCTCTCTTTCCACTTTAAGGTGTTCCTTAGAAGCAAGCTTTGACCAAGCTTTTGACTATCTGACTTATGATTACTTAATGAATGTCCTTGGGACATTTTCCGAATTTAAAGATGCCACATAAATACAAGTTGCTGTTGTCATCCTGATCTACTCCAGCTGTAAACCTTGACAACTTTATTCTCTAAAACAGCAGCATGCATACACAGCTGCAAAGTAGAAGTCCTTAACAGGATTTTGTAGAGTTGAATAAAAACAAGATTGAGCTAATCCAAATGAACTTGATATTACAGATGAATAGACTATGCCTTCCATTTGGAAACCAGATCTTCATGTGTTGTAGTACCTGTTAGAATGAGTTTGTGGGTGTTAATCTATACTCCTAAATACACCTTCACCTGAATCACTTGAGTTACTGCACATGTTGGTCAAATACCATCAATGTGACCAATGTTTGTTTGATCTGTGTTATTTAATATTTAAATTGTAAGCTTTTGCAACAGTAATTATGGGTTAGGCAACAGGACTAAGCAGCAAAGGGAAATATTTGAAAACTGAGATTACGCAGCAAGTTAAGAAAAAAAAGATAAATTATCCATCTAAAAACCATGGGAGAGTGACACAAAAGAATTAAACAACATGTAGCAAACATAAAATGGCAGCATAGTACATAATTTTAATCATCTACGGATACTGAGCATGTCACTGTCTGAAATAGTTTTGTGTTATTTTATTTTCAGGATTATGAGCAGTGCATATGGTTACTGACTGAGCCGAAATTTCTCAGTTGAAAATAATTACTTTTCTCATCATTCAGGTTGATTTTGCTGACCATTTTTCTGCTGTTGGTGTGTGGCGTGTTGGCCAGTTGTGTGAAATGCTGCAGAAGAAATAAACCCCAGGTTCCTGCTTTCCCGGCCAGGCCTTACGAAGTTACAGTGATTGCCTTTGAGAATGATAACACCATCCACAGCACTGTTTCAAGTAAGTAGCAGACTATGTATGCACTGGATTGATGAAAAGTTTGTTTCACAGAGCAATTGGGCAATAAAATCCCAATCATAGGAGGTCATAAAACACAGATGTGAGTCGGCACTTTGAAAAACTTTCCAATCTGCCTTACACCCTCCTTGTTTTCCCCTGTAGCACTGAAAATATTTCTCCTTCAAGTAATGATTGAATTGGAATTCAACAAAAAAATCTGGAATTAAGAGTCTAATGATAACCATGAATCCATTGCTGATTGTCGGAAAAACCCATCTGATTCACTAGTGTCCTTTAGGGAAGGAAACTGCTATCCTTACCTGGTCTGGCCTGCATGTGACTCCAGACCCACAGCAATGTGGTTGACGCATAACTTGCCTCTGGGCAATTAGGGATGGGCAATAAATGTTGGTCTATCCAGCAACACCCTCATCCCATCAATGAATAAATAAGAAAATTATCCAACTCCCTCTTGAAACATTCAATTGAATTTGTTTCTATCACCCTTTCTAGAGCATTCCAAATTATAATTCCTGCTGATATTAACATTTACTTCTGGTTCTTTTGGCGATTTTACCCAGTCATACAGGATTGTAGGTAGACAAACAGGAGGCTGGAAGAACACAGCAGGCCAGGCAGCATCTGGAGGAAAGGAGCAGTCAACTTTTCAGGTATTACCCTTCTTCAGGCCTGGATGTGAGGGTAGGGGGAGCTGCAGATAAAGAGGGGGGGAAGGGTGGAGGCA